CTGGGATAATTTACAATATTCTGCAGTGTACTACACCAATATGAAAATATCCCAATGTAAAACATAATCTATATTTTTACAGTTTTTCTATGCAAACTCGATTTGAATCACTTTAGGTACATTTTAAGTAATTTGAAGTTGGCTGTTAACTCATCATTTTGATGCAGATCTCATAATGAGTTGCAACGGAAATGAGTCCAGTTCTTTTTCTATGTTTCATCGTATAGAAATTAAATTTTTTTGAACAGAAGGTTTAAATTATAAAATTTTAATTTTTTTTTGAGGTAAATTCTAGAAATGTAAATATATAATATAGGCAACGAATATCGAGAGATTATATGCGGGCTTTGTATGATGTTAAAATTACATATGGATGTTGAAACACCATTCGTGACAGTCATTTCGTGACGAATTATCTACGTATAACTTTCTCAATATATATTTACAAGTCATTATCCGGTAATTGACACAAGAACCCCAAAAACGTGAAGAGAACTTAACTAGCTCAGTACGGTAAGTATATGTACAATATTATATATCAAAGTACCGAGATATACACAGAAGATTATGTTTACACATGTTTAAAATAATATCTAAACATCTTTTTTCAAATTTATAGGAATTCCATATATATTTACTGTTACTTTTCGAAATATATATAGAGAGTTTGATATTTAGAGGTGGAAAATACCGGAACGATGAGATTATGTGTAAGAAAACATTCAGAGTTTTCAATATTATATTTACTGTTGTTAATCTAAACGATTCATCATGTATGGAAATTATTCTCTCATTCAGTATCCATAATATTTCATTTTAAAATAAACAACACGCATCAATCGTTTATTTTACTCTTTTACAATAATTATTATTTAATGGAATTGTTAATAATCATGTTTATATTATACTTAAAGTACCTATATATATTATCGTAAATTTTATATTTACCATAGCTTATATTCTAACTCCGTTTTCATCTTCGAACTAATATTGATTCTTCTTAAAAGTTATAGAGAAATATTCTCGGACGCATGATAAAAATATATTCAGAATTCTATAAAATATCCTTATTAATCATTACTGTCAATAGTAGTAATTAATTATAATTGATAAATTAAAATTTTAAAGTTAATACACTGACATAAAACTCTAAAAATTCAAAATGGTGTACATGAGTAGGCGTTATCTATATACTGTAAGAAACTCCACCTTTAACAGGCGTGGTCTCAATGTAGGTGTAGCGTACAGTTTGAATTTGTATGTGTATCATTATCATTGATACTTAAAAAAAATTTGTTTTTTAAATTTTTTACCTCCTCTTTTCTCAAAATTAAATCTAATTTTTTACTTAATAAAATTCGATTTTCTAAAATTTTTTTTTAATGCTAACATTTTTCTTGACAATATTATGTTCCGAAAATACGTGGATATACATAGTTTCAAAAAGATTGGAGGTTTTGGGCCAATCGGAACTATACTCTATTTCTGGAGAGATCGATATTTTTGAGGACGAATTTGAGTCCTTTACGCGCAAAAAACTATAAAAGGAGGCGTATATTATTTTTTGTTTCAGCAAATAAGCTTTATCTTTCAATTTTTTTTAAATTTGATTGATTTTAGTCATAGGAAAAGCAACACATGTTTTACAACAAGATGCGCAGAAAAATATCGATCTCTCCTGGAACAGAGTATATATCCTTACAAAATGACTGAAAATTATTTCCAAAAATTCTTACTTTTTTAATAGTTTACCAATATATTATAATAATTATTTTTAACAAATATCAACACTTTTACACAACACTGCCTTTCATTATCATATTTTAGAATTTTCTACAAAATTTCAGTTTAATCTATTCAGTATTTTACGAAAAATAAAAAAAAGTAGGTTATTAGGTGATTATTGGCTAATAATCACAAGTTAAATAAAGTTTTTAAATATAATTTCTATAAAAAATCTCTGGAAATTCTAATAAGTAATTTTTCCATACAAAATCTTGGAAAAGCTTCTACAATTTATCCAGAAATAATTTCCGAAATCCTTCCAAATGGGAGTGAAATTTTTTAAAATAATTTTATATATATTTTTTTTATTAATTTCGAACAAATGAAAATTCTATAAAATAGAAATTCTGTTAAATGATTTTTCGATTAAGTATAAGTTCTGTAGATTGGAAAATCGGTTATATGGAAATTCCGTTAAATAATAATTCGAACAAATGAAAATTCATCTAAAGGAATATTCTGTTCAATAAAAATTCTACGTAATAAAGATATATTAAAATGGCTATTATGTTAAACGAAAATTAGAGAAAATAAAAATTCTGTATAAACAGCTGTTTGATATTTGTTATTAAAAATTATTTTTACAATTAATTTGAAGTTTTGAAAAATAATTATTATATTAAATAAAAACTTGATTTAAAAAAGGTAATAAAATATATGGTTTTTTAATAATATGTGTTGTTAAATTTACATGCCTGAAAAAAAATTTATTTGTTCCAAATAATCAATAATAATTTATGTATTTGAAAAAAATACCATTTAAGTGACTCAAATAATAATTATTTAATATAAATAAATATTTATTTGATAATAGTCAAGTGACTGATTATTTGAATGAAATAAATCTTTTTGCATGTATTTAATTTTTTTATTTGAATAAATAAAATCAGATACGAAAAAACTATATTCAATTATAAATTGTACAATTAAAAATTAGCGTACATATAATATAATAATTAGGTTAAATAAATTTTAGCCAATAGCTTATAAAAATATTTTATTATTTAAAATTCTGAAAAAATTGATTATTTTATGATTCAAGTCAATTAAAAAAAATTACATAATTATTTTTATAAAATTTCTTTAATACACTCACATCTCGAATCAACTTTAAGGGAAAAAAAGTTTTAATAGTTTTACATTACAAAAAATGTCAGAAACAGTCGATTTCTAAATTTATTTTAAGGGGAGAGGGACCAGTAAAATTTCAAAATTTATGTAGTCTATTTAATTTTTTTTCTGGCATTATTTAGGGTTTAAAAATTATTCTTAATTATTGAAATTTGAAAAAAAATATTTTTGTCAATTTTAGAAATTTTTTTTTTAAATTAAAAATTTTTAAAACCAGAAAATTATATACAATTGATTGTTAATAATCATAAAAGAAAGTATGTAAAAAAATTGCCCATGAAAAATAATATAAATTGTCGAAGAAGTTGAATTTTAAAAGTATTAACAGTAAAATTTAAACCAATAAAAATTTAAGTTTTTTTTCATTTTTATAATTATTTTATGAAAATAATTATGTAATCTTTTTTTTTTACTTACTAGTAGCATAAAATAATCAATTTTTTTCAAAATTTAAGTAATAAAATATTTTTATAAGGTACGGAATATTTCGTCTAAAATTTATTCAACCTAATTATTATGTATGTGCTAATTTTCAATTGAATCTATTTTTTTCGTATTTGATTGTTATTAATTCAAATGCGAAAATTAACAACACGTTATATTAACAAACCTTATAATTTTTTATAACCTTTTTTAAATCAAGTTGTTATTCAATATAATAATTATTTTTCAAAACTTCCAATTAATTTTTAATAACAAATATCCAACAGCTGTTTATACCTGCTGGGCGAAATATTGTACTTTCATTATTTCGTTCGTTTTTGTTGTATCACCTAACGGGCGAAATAATCTATTTTTCTTATTTCGCCCGTCTTCTAAAAGTAAAACACATTTATTTCGGCGGGCGAAATAAGAAGAATGAATTAGTTCACCCGAACGGGCGAAATAGATGCAGCCTTTTTTTTTACTTTTCAGAAATGTGCACAATACAGTACGCGGTGTTTCAATGTTTATTTAAACCTATAAAACTTATCGGCCCACTATAAATTTTTTTGCAAAATCTTCTTAGTATTTCCAGATATGTTCTAAAAAATATTTTAAAAATCATATACTTATAAATTTAAAAAAACTGATTTATCTATTAATTAATATATACAAGATAGTTTATATATATATATATATATATATATGTAAACTTAATTTGTTTATAAAAAATGGATTTTCTTAATAAAAAGTGAAAAAAAATTTTTCGTTAACATTATTGAAAAATATTAGAAAAACTAAAACTTATCTTCTCTTGGAAAAAATTGAAAAAATCCATATTTTCCTAGTTAGCAGCCATTAAATATAGGTCTGCATTTACAAAAATAAAAACAAAGGGTCGAAGAAAATCTCATGTGAAATCGCCCATATTTATTATATTTTTAATTTTTTTTTACAAAATGTTAGCTCAAAATCTATCAAATATTTTGCTAGAAAATATGTGGAGAATATTTACATTTGAAATATCAAATAACTTTAACATTTAGATTCAAGAAATGTTGTAAACATAATTGTAAATTCTACAAATACTATTGATCTATTTTAGTTAAATACTTTCAGATTCCGATGTTTTAAAAGATAAGAATTCAGTGATAGAAACAATTTTAAAAAATGCGATTAAAATTTGTTATTAAAGCTATTATTTCTTTATAACACATTTAAAAACAATTTTTAATTTTTTGTTTTTAATTGTTTAAAATTTAATTTTTAATTATTTTAATGTTAAATTATTATTTAAAATTATTTACATACATAATTTTTTTCATTTGTATTTTATTTAAGAAATAGCTAAAAATACAACCTATAATCTACAACTCTTTAATTTTACGAAAACAGGCGAATATAAAATAGATAATTTTAATTGATATTTCATTTATATATATATATATATATATATAGGGGAGATGTATGCAGGTTGAGACAGTTGATATTATATTAAATTTTATATTTTTAAAAAAAATACTATTTTGTTAGCCAATCTTAAGCATTATATATTAAGATATATTTGTCAAAACCTATCGCAAAACAGCAAACGCCATGTTGGAAAAAGTAGTCACGCAGAGGTGAAATAAAAACATTTAAAAAAATATCATTTTTTCTACCTTTAAAGCTGATTCTCCTTCTGATTTTTTTAAGAACTGCGTGAATATAATTGTACTATATAACACAATTGTCACTCAAAATATTTTCAGTTTTTAACTGTTTTAATTTTCAAATGCAGTGAAACGCATATGCACGCGACACACGATATTGAAACAATGAGGTGTTATAAAGACTTCGTCTTCACATTTCCATTAATAGCTCATAGTAGGGGGTAACAGCCAATCACAAGTCAGGCAACAAGTGTCAGTAACGTGTGTCGCCATCGTCAATCTATTAAGGCGTGAGCAGAATAGAAACGTAACCGGAATCGTAATCGTAAACGCAACCGGAAGAATAAGTTAGAGAAGGACCTTAAAGGCCTGAGCAGAATAGAAACGTAACCGGAATCGTAATCGCAAACGCAACCGGAAGAATGAGTTAGAGAACGATAGACATATTGTTTGTCCTTCTCTAACTCATTCTTCCTGTTGCGTTTGCGATTACGATTCCGGTTACGTTTCTATTCTGCTCAGGCCTTTAGCCGAGTTGGTCAGTCTTGATTTATATTCCAAGTCAAGTGGACGCGCACGTGTAGTGATAAGTAAGAAATGATATATAATTAACTTTTACATTTAACTTTTATAATTTTATATTAAATATTAATATTATAGGTATGACCAGGTTTGAGAGTTTCTTTTTTTAGAGAAAACCGCGATAAAGTTTTACGGACAATTAAAATAGATTTCTTGAAAGATTTTATATATTTTTTATGATAAAATTATTAAATGCTTTTTTGAACATCAGTGTTGCTGATATTATAAATTTGTTTTATTTAAGGAAGGTGGCGGGTCAACATAACCTCAAAAATCTTTAAAAAGTAAAAAATTGTTTTTAACGCAAACAAAAATATAATAGGGTCATTCCATTTTATTTCACCTATAGTCGTTGCAGCCTATTTTTAGAAAAATTTGATATTTCGTATTAATGACTTTTAATATCCGTACAATTCATTTTTGACAATTATTTTATGAAATTTTTTTTTATTTACGTTGAAATTTAGTTTTTAAGTTGAGTTGCACGGAAAATAGGTTAGTTTGACAGCTTTGGAAATTTAATAAAAAAAAACAGAAATAATTCAGTTAGTAAATTTTTTTTCATTGATATTTGTTTAAAATAGTCTAATTTACCAATGTTAATTGATAATTGTGTAAAAAAAGCCAAAATACTACGTGAAAATTAATATTCAAACTTACCTGTAAAATGTCAAAATTTGTCACATTTTATTTATATTTTCCAAGAAAGTTTATAAATATTATAAAATTCATTACTACCTAACAATAAGTACTTTCCAAGTACTTTCACATAATATGTTGACTTTTTATTTTTATAATATAGAAATAAGTGAAATTTTACCTTGAATGTTGTACTTTTCATCAACATTTTCATTTTATCTGATTTTAAAAATTAATTTCTTCGCAGGCGATTAATGAAAAAATCCCATTTTGGTTTTAAAATTTAAGTTAAATCTTCTTTATTTATCTTATCAAAATTTGGTGATGGAGAACAAGCTACTTTTTATTTTTATTCAATTTAAAAAATTCCCCGTAAAATACGAATTTGAAGGTTAAAAAACAAGTATTTTTATAAATAAAATTCATACAAATAAATCTATATTGAGAAACCCAACTTCAGTTTTATAAAATTACTTGTTTTTTAACCTTAAAATTCGTATTTTACGGTGAATTTTTTAAAGTGAATAAAAATAAAAATTAGCTCGTTCTCCATCACCAAATTTTGATAAGATAAATAAAGAAGATTTAACTTAAATTTTAAAACCAAAATGGGATTTTTTCATTAATCGCCTGCGAAGAAATTAATTTTTAAAATCATATAAAATGAAAATGTTGATGAAAAGTACAACATTCAAGGTAAAATTTCACATATTTCTATATTATAAAAATAAAAAGTCAACATATTATGTGAAAGTACTTGGAAAGTACTTATTGTTAGGTAGTAATGAATTTTATAATATTTATAAACTTTCTTGGAAAATATAAATAAAATGTGACAAATTTTGACATTTTACAGGTAAGTTTGAATATTAATTTTCACGCAGTATTTTGGACATTTTTACACAATTATCAATTAACATTGGTTAAATGAGACTATTTTCAACAAATATCAATGAAAAAAAATTTACTAACTGAATTATTTCTGTTTTTTTTATTAAATTTCCAAAGCTGTCAAACTAACCTATTTTCCGTGCAACTCAACTTAAAAACTAAATTTCAACGTAAATAAATAAAATTTCATAAAATAATTGTCAAAAATGAATTGTACGGGTATTAAAAGTCATTAATACAAAATACCAAATTTTTCTAAAAATAGGCCGCAACGACTATAGGTGAAATAAAATGGAATGATCCAATAAATATTAATTTCAAACAATTTTAGAAGATTTAGATTTACTCCTTTCGAAAAAAAAAATATTTTGTCAATAATTATTTTTTTAACATTTAGTTTTTTTTAAATCAGACAAAAATTGCAATTTGTAACCAATTTTTATAAACAAAAGCTCATTTTACTCAGTGAAACATTCTCTACAATTGTTACCTTTTTATATTGTAATAAGTATGTTTTTAAAAAGTTATAAACAATTAAAATTTTATTTATAAAATAACTTTTTAACAACATACTTATTAGAATATAAAAAAGGTAACTATTGTAGAGAATGTTTCACTGAGTAAAATGAGCTTATATTTATAAAAATTGGTTAAAAATTGCAATTTTTTTCTGATTTAAAAGAAAAAAAACTAAATGTTAAAAAAATAATTATTGACAAAATATTTTGGAAAAAAATAATTTTTTTCGAAAGGAGTAAATCTTGATCTTTTGAAATTGTTTGAAATTAATATTTATTATAATTTTGTTAGCGTTAAAAACAATTGATTGAAAAAAAGTATTTTTCACATAATAAATAATTTGTTTTCAATAAATTTTTTTTGAAAAAATTATTGTTCAAGAAACGTTGCAAAAAATTTTGTAGATCTGAAATATAATAATAATTTGCATAGAAAAATATTTTCATATCAATCGTTGATCATAAACGTTGCGAACTGCACCGACGTAAAATTGTTTTAATTATGTTTCTTGCGCAAGCATAAATATTATAATCAAATCCTTTTTAAATAATTATTATAAATAATTTAAAAGGGTAAGTAAAAACGATAACATTCGGACTTACCCTTTTAAATATATTCTCTCGGACGTTAAAGAATTATTAATTATTATAAATAATTTATTTCAGACTCAAAAATGGCATTTGTTTTTAATGCATTTTCAACAAGAATGTTTTCAAACAAAAACAAGGAAAATGATATTTCAGAAGGAGGAGAAATAGAAGATGGAGAAATCGTAGAAGAAGATAAGAGTGATAAATCGAAGAAGGTAAATATTACTATATTATTGCTTTCATTATTCTTATTATTAATATTATTTATGTTTTTTCTTCCTTATTTACAGAACTTAGAGAAATTACATTCTGAAGCTAAAAATGATGTAAATAATCAGACTTCTGGGAAACAGGAATTAATGCCGACAGTAAGTATTACTTTTTTTTTAATTTTTAAAACATTCCAACCTCCCTGAAGTACGCAACGTTTATCTTAAACGAAAAATTTTGAGGCGCATGATTTTTCCCAAAAATTAAAAAGTTCGAAATTTTAATTGATCGAATTACTTTAAGTCGTTATTTTATTTGGTCGAAATTGTAAAAGAACAACATTAATGAAAGTCGACAGTTTATTTGATCGAAATTCTAAATGATCGATATTAAAAGTGGTCGACATTTTATTTGGTCGATATTTTATTTATTCGAAATTCTAAATGATCAATATATATGAAGTGGTCAGCAATTTATTTAGTCGATATTTTATTTATTCGAAATTCTAAATGATCAATATATAAAGTGGTCAACAATTTATTTAGTCGATATTTTATTTGGTCGTTTTAAATGGTTGATATTTAAAGTGGTCGACATTTTATTTGGACGAAATTCTACGAAGCTGAAGTACGCAACGTTTATATAAACGATTTTTAAAGAAAAATTTTTTTAAACGAAAAATTCTGTAATGTTTTGCCTAAAAAATATTTTTTTATAATTTGTTGGTTAACGAAAACTACAAGAAATATTTTTTAGGCAAAAAATTATAGAATTTTTCATTTAAAAAAATTATTTCTTTCAAAAATCATTTATATAAACGTTGCGTACTTCAGCTTCGTCGAAATTCTAAATGATCGACATTTAAAGTGGTCGAAATTTTATTAGTTCGATATTTGGTTTTGTAGATATTCTAAATAATCGACATTTAAAGTGGTCGATATTTTATTTGTTTGATATTCTAAATGATAGAAATTTAGAAGCATCGAATTTTATATCCATCGAAATTTAATTTGGTCGACATTTTAAAAACTCGTATAACTAAAAAAGTGTCGAGCTTTTAAAATATCGACCAAATTAAATTTCGAAGGATATAAAATTCGATGCTTCTAAATTTCTATCATTTAGAATATCCAACAAATAAAATATCGACCATTTTAAATGTCGTTCATTTAGAATATCTACCAAACCAAATATCGAACTAATCAAATTTTGACCACTTTAAATGTCGATCATTTAGAATTTCGACCAAATAAAATATCGTCTGAATAAAATGTCGACCACTTTAAATATCGACCATTTAAATTTTCGGTCAAATAAAATAGTGACTAAATAAAATGTCGACCTTCATAAATGTCGGTTATTTAGAATTTCGACCGAATAAAAAATCGATGGAATAAAATGTCGACCTTCATAAATGTCTACAGTGTTGTTCAAAATTATTAGAACGGGAATAAAAATTTTATACATTCTGCTATAGAAACTTCAATTTTTAATTTATTTTTTAAATAAGCTAATTTTACATTTAATTGACTCTAATTAGGTACAAAACGCTTAAAACAAATTAATTTTCTTTATAAAATTAATGAAAATAGAAACATTTTCACATAAAACCAATTAACGCATTGTTCAAAATTATTCGAACTGTCAACAATTTGTGACAAAAAGTGAAAACAAAAATTTTTTAACCATCAACTATCATCGCTTAATACTTAGTTGGACCTCCTAGGGCTTCAATCACTGCTCTCAGTCGGCGAGGCATACTATCTACCAATTTCTGCGTTGTATCCGGGCTGATTTTGCGCCATTCATTTTTGATTGTCTCAAAAAACTCATTCCTATTTTTTCGTCGTTCAAAAGGCAACTTCTGATCCAAAATCGACCACAAATTCTCAATTGGATTAAGGTCTGGACTTTGTGGTGGACTGCCCAGTAACTGAATTTTGTTTTTCAAGAAATAATCTTTCGCGACTTTCGACGTATGCTTAGGGTCATTATCTTGCTGGAAGATATATCGTCGACCCATACGCAAGTTTGTGGCAGATTGTTTTAGATTTTGGGATAAAACACCGACATACATACTTCCGGTCATTTTCCCATCAATCATCGCAATTTCTCCAACACCTTTAGAGGCGAAACAGCCCCAAACCATGACATTTCCGCCGCCATGTTTTACCGTTTGCAGAATATTCGCCTGTTTAAGCGCTTCACCTGATCGGCGCCATACTCTTTTACGTTTTTTTGATCCAAAAAGCTCAAATTTACTTTCATCTGACCACAAAACGCTGTCCCAAAATTTAGAATCCTTTGAAACATACTTTTTTGCAAAATATAATCGTTTTTTCATATTTATTTTTGAGATGTATGGCTTCTTTCTTTGGATACGGCTGTCTAATCCTGATTTTTTGAGTCGTCGGCGAACTGTTACAGCTGATACGTTTAATTTTAAGTCTTCCACAATTTCCCTTGACGATATATCGCTCTTTTTTTTAGCCAGTCTTACAATCATGGAGTCGTCTCTCGCAGTTGTCTTGGGTTTTCTGCCTCTCCCGCTCTTGTTTTCGACGAATCCAGTTGTCGCATATTTTTTACACAAATAGTAGACACCGGACTTTGACAATTTATACTTTTTTGCCAAGTCTGCGTATGATAATCCATCTTTTCGGTCTTCAATGATGCGATAGCGAAGATCATTGGAAATTTCCAAACTCTTGGGCATTGGTATTGTCCTGATTATTTCTCACACCCTAAATAATTTTTTTTTTAACTTACGATGTTATAAAATACAAAATTTATCGAAGTGAAAAGGAAACCGACTAATACTTACTTGAATATAACTTTTTTTATCATCCGTTCGAATATTTTTGAACACCGAAAATAGACAATGTCAAGAGAGAATAATTTTTTCTGCAGATTACGCGATGTTGTGCAATAACTACAATCTGTAAACATTCAAGGAGAACATAATTTACTAAAAAGTTGTTACTCAGAAGCAAATAATTAATTTATAAAAATTCTGCAATCAAAAAATGACATTTTTTCAGTCCGTTCTAATAATTATGAACAACACTGTATCATTTAGAATTTCGATAAAATAAAATATTGACTAAAGAAAATATCGGCCACTTTAAATATCGATCATTTAGAATTTCGAATAAATAAAATATTGACCAAATGAAATGTTGACCATTTTAAATATCGATCATTTAGAATTTCGTTCAAATAAAATATCGACTTAATGTAATTCGATCAATTAAGTTTTCGACGTTTTTAATTTTTGGGAAAATTCATGCGCCTAAAATTTTTTTTTAATAATTACCTAAAAGTCCTTAAAATAGGTAAAAACTAATGAAAAACAACCAAAAATACAGTTTAGAAAAAAAAATAACACAAATTACACCCCAAACACCCCCATACAATTGAAAAATCGAAAAAAATAGAAAATATTCTATTATTTCAAATCTAAATGTGGGACCAAAGATTTTATTGTTCTATTCGCATCTTTATATGTCCCTTAAAATGAAAAAAAATTGAAGGCGAATTTGATGATCCGCAACCCAGATTTTTTGACCCCTAAAGTTTGAAAAAAATTCAAAAAAATTAAAAAAAATCTATTATTTCGAATCTAAATGCGGGACCAAAGATTTTATTGTTGTTTTTGCATTTTTATATCTCCTTTGGAATGCAAAAAAATTGTGTCCGAATTTGATGATGCGCAACCCCGATTTTTTGACCCCTAAAATTAAAAAAAAAACCATACAAAATCGAAAAAATCAATTATTCCTAATTTAAATGCAGGACCAAAAATTTTATTGTTGATTTCGCATCTTTATATGTCCTTTGGAATGTACAAATATTGTGAGCAAATTCGATGATCCACAACCTGGATATTTTAACCCCTAAAGTTTGAAAAAATCGAGAAAATATTCTATTATTCCGAATCTAAACGCGGGACCAAAGATTTTATTGTTGATTTCGCATCTTTATATGTCCTTTGGAATGTACAAATATTGTAAGCAAATTCGATGATCCACAACCTGGATATTTTGACCCCTAAAGTTTGAAAAAATCGAGAAAATATTCTATTATTCCGAATCTAAACGCGGGACCAAAGATTTTATTGTTGTTTTCGTATCTTTATATGTCCTTTGAAATTTAAAAAAATTGGGAGCGAATTTGATGATCCACAACCCAGTTTTTTGACCTCAAAAGTTTGAAAAAATTCAAAAAAATCGAAAAAAATCATTATTTTGAATCTAAATGCGGGACCAAAGATTTTATTGTTGTTTTCGCATCTTTATATGTCCTTTGGAATGTAAACAAATTGGGAGTGAATTTGATGATCCGCAACCTCGATTTTTTGACCTCTAAAGTTTGCAAAAATTTAAAAAAATCGAAAAAAATCTATTATTTCGAATCTAAACGCGGGACCAAAGATTTTATTGTTGATTTCGCATCTTTATATGTCCTTTGGAATGTACAAATATTGTAAGCAAATTCGATGATCCACAACCTGGATATTTTGACCCCTAAAGTTTGAAAAAATCGAGAAAATATTCTATTATTCCGAATAAAACGCGGGACCAAAAATTTTATTGTTGTTTTCGCATCTTTTTATGTCCGTTAGAATGTAAAAATATTGTGGTCGAATTTAATGATCCGTAACCCCGATTTTTTCACCCCTAAATTTTGAAAAAATTCCAAAAAATCAACAAAAAATCCATTATTTCAAATCAAAATGCGGAACCAAAAATTTTATTGTTTTCGCATCTTTTCATGTCCCTGAGAATATAAAAAAATTGTGGACAAATTTGATTTGTCTTTTATTTACTTCAAAAAAATTTTATTTGTTCGAATTTTTTTTTTCTTGAATTTTCATTCAATTTAATAGGCATTTTAAAGAATTTTTATTGTTTAGAATTTCATTGCACAGAATAATAATAATCATGACAAATTAAATTCTACAAAAAGAAAATTCTAACTAATGATTTTAGAGCTTAATCATGTGTCATGAAAATTTTAACTAAACAGCAGTGATCATTGCCATTCACTGTAGTCTAGATGCGTGTGTGGCGGGGATACAGCCGAGCGCTGATATTAGGCTTCGTTCGACTCAGATCGGCTCTTTGCTTGGCATTGTCCTCACCATTCTTGGCACTGGCCTCAACCATTCTCCCCATCAGACCACAACGAAAGTCTCTAACTCTTTGAAAATCTTATTTTGCGTTTCTCTATATATGCGTGCTCTCTCCGTTCGGACATAATTTAAACTTGCTTTAGTGAGAAAGTGAAGCTTTATGTTTGTATCAATATTATTTAGTGGTGACATGATCCTGAAAAATTCTGATTTTTTTTCAGTGATTGAAATTTTAAATTTTTATCAAGAATAAAATTATAAAGTCGATAATATGTATTATAATTTTTCAAAAATTTATATTTGTGTAATTATTATGTCAAAACTATTATAACCAGTTAGTAGAATATTTAAAAACGTATCAATTTATTTATTATTATGTAAATTAACAACAAACATTCTAACAAAATTATTAGGTATGAATTAAAAATTAAATTGTCCTACAATTCATGATTTTTAAAATCAAGATTTCAAAAAATGTTCAAAAATTTTAATATTAAAAACTTTATAATTTTATTCATGATAAAAATTTAAAATTTCAATCACTGAAAAAAAATCAGAATTTTTCAGGATCATGTCACCACTAAATAATATTGACACAAACATAAAGCTTCACTTTCTCACCAAAGCAAGTTTAAATTATGTCCGAATGGAGAGAGCACGCATATATCGATAAACGCAAAATAAGATTTTCAAGGAGTTTGAGACTTTCGTCGGGGTCTGATGGGGAGAAGGGTGAGGCCAGTGCCAAGCAAGGAGCCGATCTGAACAGAACGCAGCCGAATATCCGCGCTCGGCTCTATCCCCGCCACACACGCATCTAGACTACATAGTCGTCAAAGGCAATCACAACTGTTTTCTGATTTTTGGGACAGATGATTATGCTCTAAAAATAATTAGTTAGAATTTTCATTTTATAGCTTTTCATTTGTCATAATTATTTTTGAGTCAAATTTTTATTTCATTGAATTAATATTTTGCAGTATTTTTATCAAACCGACTTTCCATATTACAGAATTTTTATAGAAACGAAAAACACTTCACAGACATTTTATTTGTTTGAATTTTTATTTGTCAGTATTTCTATTAGCTCGAATTTTCATTTAACATAATAAGCATTTTAAAGAATTTTTATTGGTTAGAATTTCATGTTTTTTCGGCCATTTGGTAATTTCGAACAATTAAAAATTGTAGAAATAGAAATTTTGTTAAATAATTTTTCGGTTAAGTAAAAATTCTGTATGTAGTATGAAAAATCGGTTGTACGGAAATTATATGAAATAATAATTCGAACAAATAAAAAGTCATCTGAAAGAAAATTCTACGCAATGAAATTCTATCCAATAAAAATTCTTTAAAATGCCTATTATGTTAAATGAAAATTCGAGTAAATAAAAATTCTGTGAAGTGAATTTTAGGTTATCCAAAAATACTGCAATATAAAAAATAGATGTGATGAAAATTCGGCAAAATACTATTTTGTACAAATAAAAATTCGGGTCAAATGTAATTATGACAAATGAAATTCCATAAAATGAAAATTCTAAGTAATGATTTGTAGAACATATTCTGCGTCCCAAATGTTCTAACGTTTTATTTCCACGTGGCTACAATTAACACAATGAAACTTTTGTTCCAGCTTTTGCTGGTGAAAAAACCAATATTGCGGGACACAAAAATTGACCCAAATTTTTTTACATTCTAAGGGACATATAAAGATGCGAAAAGAACAATAAAATCTTGGATCCCGCATTTAGATTCAAAATAATGAATTTTTTTTCGATTTTTGTGAATTTTTTCAAATTTTAGGGGTAAAAAATTGGGGTTGCAGATCATCAAATTCGCTCACAATTTTTTTGAATTCTAAGGGACATATAAAGATGCAAAAACATCAATAAAATTTTTGGTCCCGCCTTTAGATTTGAAATGATGAATTTTTTTTCGATTTTTTTGAATTTTTTCAAACTTTAGGGGTAAAAAAATCGGGGTTGCGGACCATGAAATTAGCTCACAATTTTTTTACATTCTAAGGGACATATAAAGATGCGAAAATAAAAATAAAATGTTTGGTCCCGCATTTAGATTCGAAATAATAGAATATTTTCTATTTTTTTCGATTTTTCAATTTTATGGGGGTGTTTGGGGTGTAATTTGTGTAATTTTTTTTTCTAAACTCTATTTTGGTTATTTTTCATTAGTTTGTACCTATTTTAAGGACTTTTATGTAATTATTAAAAAAAAAATTTTCGTTAAAGATAAACGTTGCGTACTTCAGGGAGGTAACATTCCATCCGAAAATCGTTTTTATAAAATTTTTAAACACAAAACGTCCTTTTTAGTATACAATACAGATCATCTTTATTGCAATTATTTAACAAATTTTTAACCAAAAATGTTCTCTAAATTAATTACTTTTAATAATTTTAATGAAATTCTTATCAAATTATTGCTTTCATTATTATTATTATTATTATTGATGTTTTTGCTTCAACAATTTTCAGAACTCACAGCAATTACATCGTGAAGGAGAAATTGATACAGATAGTCATACTTCTGGGGAAAAGGAATTAATGCCGATAGTAAGTATTACTTTTTTTTCATTTTTAAAACATTTCATCCCAAAATCTTCTTTATTTCAATTATTTAACAAATTTTTAAAGAAAAACTTTCTCTACATTAATTACTTTTAATAATTTTAATGAAATTCTTATCAAATTCCATTATCTTAAATTCATTTTCAATTAAAAATTGTACGAAATTCAACAGTTATTTACAATTTAAAAACAAATCAAATAAAATTACAAAAAATTTCAATTTACTTAAAACCTTTTAAAATTTTATTATTTTAAAAATTTTTTATCCAAATTTAATAATTTCAATTATAATTCTTCCAAAAATCAATTATTTTTAATGATTATTTTATTTTTCAAAAATTCAATTGTCTGTATGCATTTTTTAATATTAAAGAATTTGAAAATTCAATTTTTGTCTTTAATTTTTAATAAATTATTCAGCAACAAAAATCATGAAAAAATTTTATTTCAAAATCAGTTAAATTCAATTATTTTGAAAAATTCAAAAAAAATTCAAAATTACACATTTTCAATTTTAATTATTTCTGAAAATGCCAACTGTAACTCTTCCAAAAATTAATAATTTAATTTAAGATTTTATTTATCTGGTAATAATTATATTAAATTAGAGTTATTAGGCCAGATTTTTCCACAAAAATTTTTTTTTAATGATTTTAAAAGGACGACATGTTAGTAATTTTAACTAAATATTTCGTATAAAATTAATTCATCAAAATTTATATATCTACCTTTATATTTTAGTTTAATATTTCATTCAATAGTGTAACATTTAATTTGTAGACACCAAGGACTCGCTACTCAAGGGGGAGAAGTGGAGGCATAAAAAAGAAGAAAAGGTATGACGCATTTAAGGTAAGAATATTATAAATAAAATAGATTTTATAAAAATACAAATCATGTTTAATTTAAGAATTATATTCAATTTTTGTTTCAGGCTATTGCTAAGGGAAAACAGGAGGAAAAAAAAACAAAAGGAAAAAGTGAACAAAAACAAAAAAAAGGAAAAAAATTAGAAGTTAAAAAAGGAAATGAAAATAAAATAAACGAAAACAAATTTATAATTATCGCGAAGGGGGGGGGTGTAATTAATATTCACAATTAATTTATAAACATTTGTAAATTTTTTTTTTAATAAATTTATAATTAATTGTATCCCTATTGTGATTCCCTATTGTAAACTCCCGTATGAGATCCCGTACATAAAATCGAGTATCTGCAAGACAGGCGAGTATATTATTTCGCCAGTCAGGTATAAACAACTATTGGATATTTGTTATTAAAAATTAATTTGAAGTTTTGAGAAATAATTGTTATATTGAATAATGACTTTTTTTAACCCTAGAAGGAGTAACTGGGGTATCTAGACAACCAAAGCAACATTGAAAGTATGTTCCTGACTTAACCAATCATATTTTCACAACGGGACCATAACGATAATTCAATTTTTACATCTGACAGTTTTGATCTATGGTATTGCGCGCGAAATTTTTGCTCCAGGAGAAGCTCTGTATCGAATTGAAATACGTGTGGGGTATATTTACACCACAGTTACCCCCCAATGTTACAAAATTAAAAAAAGAAGTAAATTTAAATTTTATGTAAAATCTTTTTTAATAAGTTTAAATCATCTAGTAGACTAATAAATATTAATTGATAAAATCTATTTTATAATCAATTTTTGTGATTTTTTTAATTGGTCAATTTTCTTCAATTTTTTTTGCACTTTAGTTGTTCAAATAATTATATTTTTTTAAAATAATGCAAAAACCAATATTTTTTTCTAAAAGTAAATCTATTCACCTTTCAAAATGTGATCGATATTTTTTAAATAGTCAAATTTTCGAAAAACTACATTTTTTAAAAAAAATACAAATTTGGCAATTTTTTTTTCGTTTTTGCAAGTTTTTTAAAACTTTTTTATATTTTAACAAAAAATCAGTAAAACTATTGTTTTTCTTACTAAAAAATCAATAAAAATCACTATATATAGTTAGTTTTATGTCAAATAGAAACCTTTTTACACAATTTTCAAGTTGGGAGTGTCTAGACACTCCAGTTACCCTTTAGAGGGTGAGGAAATTCATGTACTCCTTATAGGGTTAAAGAAGGTTATAAAAAATATAGTTTTTTAATAATATATGTTGTTAAATTTACATGCATTGAAAAAAAAATTATTTGTTTCAAATAATCAATAATAATTTATGTATTAGAAAAAATACCATTTATGTGACTCAAATAATAATTATTTAATATAAATAAATATTTACCTATTTGATAATAGTCAAGTTACTGATTATTTGAATCAAATAAATCTTTTTGCAGTGTCTATTTAATTTTCGTATTTGAATAAATAAAATCAGATACGAAAGAACTATATTCAATTATAAATTGTACAATTAAAAATTAGCTTACATATAATAATTATGTTAAATAAATTTTAGACAATAGCTTATAAAAATATTTTATTATGTAAAGTTCTGAAAAAAATTCGATTATTTTATGATTAAAGTCAATAAAACAATTATATAATTATTTTTATAAAATATCTTTAATTCACTTATATCTCGAATCAACTTTAAGGGGAAAAAAAGTTTTAATCGTTTTACATTACAAAAAATGTCAGTAACAGTCGATTTTTAAATTTATTTCAAGGTTTTAAAAACCCGTTTTAAAAACAAGAAAATTATATACGATTGATTGTTAAGAATCATAAAAGAAAGCATGTAAAAAAATTGCCCATGAAAAATGATATAAATTGCCGAAGATGAATTTGTATAAACATTGTATGAGCTGCGGAATATTTTCTCTAAAATTTATTCAACCTATAATTATTATAAATGTGCTAATTTTTAATTGTACAATTTATAACTGAATCTAGTTTTTTCTTATCTGATTGTTATCAATTCGAATGCGAAAATTAATAACAAGTAAATTTAACAACACGGTTATATTAATAACCTTAATTTTTTATATCCTTTTTTACATTAAGTTGTTATTTAATATAATAATTACTTTAAAACTTCAAATTAATTTTAAAATTAATTTGAAAAATATGCAACAGGTGCGCGTTTATACCTGATGGGCGAAATATTGTAGTTAGAATTAGATTATTTCGGTCGATTTTTTTTATTATCACCTGACGGGCGAAATAATCAATTTTTGTTATTTCGCACGTCTTCTAAATCACATTTATTACGACAGGCGAAATAGACACTTCACATATCTATTTCGCCCGTCGCGGGCGAAATATAAGAATGAAGTAGTTCCTCCGAGCGGGCGAAATAGATGCGCGCAGATATGTGAATTTCTAAGTTCATTGGTCGTAATAGAATACATAAATCAATTTATTCTACATCATAAAATGATAGAATTATTAGATAATTATTTTATTTTTAAATATATTGATTCGAATTTGAAAAATTTGTCAGTAAAAAAATTTCACAATTTTCCTATGCTTGTAACATTTTCCTAGAAGCTTAAAAAATTTTGGGGTTTCGCACATGTTTTTAAAGCTTCCAGAAAAAAGTTACAAGCTTCAAAGAATTGTAAAATTGTTTGACTGAAAAAATTTTCGGGTGCACTTCCGAAGTAGGGATAAAATAATAAAAAAATTGTTTTCTGCGATTATCTCATACAAAACGCAAAATTTCGAAAAAAGCTTTGGACAAAACTTGTAGACCTCAAAAAAACACACATTTTATGCTTTATGCATTTTTTACAAAAAGTCATTATTTTTAGAGAAAAATCCAAAATACCAAAAACACCATGATAATGATAACATATACATCAGTCATGGTTAGACATATTATTTAACTCGTATATAGTATCATATTCACCATTACTCAGGATCCAACGAATTCAGAAAAATACTTTTGGCAATATCCACCCCCTCTCGCCAAGGTTTCTTTAAAAAAAGAAAATCGAGCAGTACCTTACGCGGCCGAAGGCCGTGTTTACTATTTTGCGTTTACCGCTGCTGTAGACTCCACCCCACAATTTTCCGCAAAATACATTCGGCCATATCCACCCCCTCTCGCTAAGGTTTTTTTAAAAAGAAAAGCGAGCAGTACCTTACGCGGTCGAAGGCCGTGTTTACTATTTTGCGTTCACCGCTGCTGTAGACTCTACCCCACAATTTCAGCAAAATACTTTCTTTAAAAAGGGAAGCGAGCAGTACCTTACTTACAACTACCAAATTCCTCTCTAATTACTATTTTTCCATCATTTTGTGGCGTTTTTGATCGTTTTTTGGATTTTTCTCGAAAAATAATTACTTTTGGTAAAAAATGCACACAACATAAAATATGTGTTATTTTAAGACCTACAACTTTTGTTTGAAACAATTTTTGAAATTTTGCGTTTTTTACGAGATAATTGCAAAAAACCATGATTTTATGGTGTTTTTTTTATGGTTTTTACCATGCTAATCAAATTTGCGCCAATTTTCACTATCATTTTCGTAATCAGCGCACCAAAATACGTTAGTATAGCAAGTTTTATTAAAATCGGAGGTACCTCTACTTCGGAAGTATATACAAATTTTCAAATTCGAATTAACATCTAAAAATAAAATAATGATAGGGTCAGTTGGGGTAAATGGGGACAAAATCGCTATTTTTCAAAAATTACGTAAGTTTCTTCCTTTAAAAGGTAATATTTGCGGGTATATTTTTTTTAAAGTTGTTATTTACATTCCCAGGATTAATTTTATGCAGCAGAGAAAAATTTAGATAAGTTTTAAACGCATGAAACTGACTCTCCCCATTTACCCCAAAATTTAGAAAATTTCGTAATATTTGGGGTAATTGGGGACAGCATAGTTTCCAAGAAAGTTTTAAGAAAAAAGTTTCCTTAAGTATATTACTGTATTAAGGGATGAAAAAACTTGAAAAAAATTTGTAGTAGATATATAATAGTTGAACCAATTGAAATTTTTTTATTTTTTTTATTTCAGTATTTTGTCTCGCATTTGAAAAAAAACAGACTTAAAAATCATACAAAAATTTTTTCTTATTCCTTATGACACCCATAACAGAAATTTACTTGAATTTTTGATTTTTGTAAATTTGGTTAATAATAACAAGCTGTCCCCATTTACCCCAAGAATTTGAAAACTCGGGGTAAATGGGAACATCTTGTTATTATTAACCAAATTGACAAAAATGAAAAATTTAAGTGAATTTCTGTTATAGGAGTCATAAGGAATAAGAAAAAAATTTGGTAAGATTTTTAAGTCTGTTTTCTTTAAAATGCGAGACAAAATACTGAAACAGTTTGACTTGGATTTTCAAGTTTTTATATATTGAGCGATAACTTGAATTATCTTGCTGCTAATTGTCAAGATAAAAGCTTGGCAATACTCAAAACTTCTTGCAGGTGATCTAAGGTCAAAATATTGGCGTTGAACTTAATTTTAAATCTATAAATTAAGCTCCAAATCCTCTTGTCCCCATTTACCCCAACTGACCCTATAATAATTCCATCATTTTTTAATTGATTTATGTTTCCAGTAAATAAGAATATGTAATATTTGGCAGTTGTCGAATAATAATATTTTCAAAAAAAGTGCAAAATTTAAGATTACCAAATCACGTCGTGAACCTCTTACTTTTAATAAATTATAATTTAAAACGAAATAAAATTGACACGGTAATATTATGACCAATGAACGTAGAAATTCACATAGTTTCACATAATATTAAAACTAGATTTTTTTAAAATATTCCAGCTGACACGCTCAGATGATTTTCAGTGGTTTGATGGAAATGCGCATTTTTTTATTTTTCATAAAAATTTTGAAAAAATAGAAATCAAAAAAAAATTAATGAAAATCTCACATGGAATGACAGATTAAAAAAACACAAATCAAAAACTTTCTCAGTATGATGAGAATTTAAAAACATTAAAAGTTAGTAATTTTAATTAATTTATTAACAACATCGTTTTTAAATTATTTTTATTGATGTAAAACATCTTCCTTGGTCACCTGTCAAATTCAATGTGTTTACTTTCATTCAACTGTTACACAGTTGAATGGACAACTCCACCTAGCGGACGAAAAGGCGGCGCGACAGCAAGTCGTTGCGACATGGTAAGTGGTAA